AAGGTCTTCGGTTCTCTTAAATGTCGTAGCATGGATGGTAGTACTGTTGTGGGACATTTTCACGGCGTTTCTTGTGGATTTTGAACCGATTAAATAATCCGCACTTTTCTCTTCTTTTATTTTGGGTTCAAGAACCTAATTATAAGGCAGCTGTGGCGAGCAACCTTATTTAGTGGAGGTTCACGGCCATCGTCGGAAATGTCGGTATGCTAGACCACGGGAACCTATTTCTTGTTGGTCCGCGAATGCTCATTCGCCTCTTCACGTTTCCGATAGCCAGCAGCTAGTCTACTAGAGGCAACAGTTCCAGGTCACTTTAATTCAGTATACCCACCCTCCCTCTTCAACTTCTAACTCACCTTTCTGTCGTGTGTTTGGCCAAATAAGTGCTCTTCTATCCTTTTTTCTTCTTCAGTCGTCGAAACTGACAATAATGGTCAGTAAAAAGCGGAAAATTACCCCTGATGAGGAGGCTGAAGATGAGGCCTACTACGTCAGTGTTAAGGACATGCCTTTTGATATTCTGCGCCAACGCATTGCCCAATCTACGGGCGCTGAGCGTAGAGCGGCCAGGAAGGAACTGCTGCTGAAGATGGGTGCCAAGCCGGAGAAGCGCAGTTGCGTTAATTACCGTCAACTGATGGAGGAGAAGAAGGCAGCCAAGCGTGCCGCTATCACAGACTATCGTAATGTACGTCAATGGCATTCGCTTTGCGGGCATCATCTAACGCTGTGGTTTTCTGTTTTTTTAGGAGCGTTTCAAAAAGACTACCCTCGAGAGGCAGCTAGGCAAGCATACCAAAAGTAAGAAGAGTAAGAAACGAGCTCGAAAGCTGGGCAAGCGTCCCTCCGCTGCTGCTGGTTCTAAGTAAGCCACTTCTTTGCTTGTGTTCTATATTTTGCGCTTATTTTAGGGGCAAAAACAGCGCTGTCATGAAGATTTCAAAGAATGTGATCAAAAGGGTGAAAAGGGGGAAATAAATGTGTACATACCATCTTTATTGGATTCTCTTCTTCGCTGGTGTCCTTTAACGAGCCAAATCTGCCTCGCGGCTAGGTCGAAGTCATCACAACATGTAAGGTCATCATTCTGCTGGGCATGCGGTTGTATAGCTACTACATTCGAGAAATACGTGTGTGTCCCTTGCCGCTGTTTCTTGTGGTATCTGATGCGAGGTTTGAATGTGAATCCCAAGCGCTGTACGAGCGAAATTCTTGTTACAATGATTGCGTCTATTTCTTCTCGTATGAGGACAGACTATTTTCTCGGCAAGGCCCTACAAGAAAGTGACGGTTTTGAGCTTGCACCCGGACGCTGGTTGACTCACCTCAACTATGCCGATGATATCGCTTTACTAGCATCA